CCAGCCCCGTTATGTCTCTGCACTCTCAGGGACGAGGGTCGGTGCCTTTCCCTGGGTGAGGGACAGGGCCCTGTGACTCCCTGAGCCCTGGAAAAGGGGCCTGAAATTACATTAAATAAATGTGCTCCCCGGGGTTGTGGTTTATACAAGCTCCCCTCTGTCTGCTGCCGCTAGCAGGGGGACAGATGGCATCTCCTCACCTTCCAAGGGCAGCTTCCAAGAGCCTTTCCCAGCCCAGCGCTGTGAGGGGCCAGGGCTGCAGCACTAACCACGTTTTGTTCCAAGTATTTATTCAGACATGTTAATTAAACCACTGCACCATTTTAAGAGCAAACTGGAACTAATTCTGAATTTAAAAAAGCATAAAAAGCAGCTCTTTCCCTCTCGAGAGAGAACACTATGGAGTACCAGTTCACCAGAGGTTTCATTCCTCTTCTCCTCCAAGCTTGGGTCCAGATCCATGCCAGGATGGCCACAGCTGGATGTGGATCAGCCGTTGGGGTGAGCTCACCTGCTTCTCCTTCAGGGCAATTACTCTTCTTTGAATCTCAGCTTGTTCTTCACCTTCCGGGCCATGTACGCAGCTGTGAGCACAGAGCAGGTGACAGTGAAGAGGCACAGGGCAGAGAAGTTGTGCGCCAAATCCCCCTGAAGAGCAGCGTAGATCTGCCGCCTGGACTCATAGTCCAACACCACCGCCTCGATCTGCGCCAGCGTGCAGAGTACCAGGAACACGTGGAAAATCTGATGGCTCTGCCCAAAAAAGTGACATTTCCCAGGGAACCACTTCTCGGGGTAAGGGTGTGAGAAAAAAAAGGCACCAATGAGGAAAAACAGCACCTGGCATTTGTGATACAGTAGCGCCGGGTCAGCCCGCGCGGAGGGCGGCGCGGTGAAGATGCGATGGACCACGGGGCTGATGTCCAGCGCGTACGCCAGGCCCGAGGGCAGCTCCTGGAAGAGCCGGCTCAGGAGGTGAGCGGACTGGTGGCACTGGTATTTAGCGTAGCAGGAACCGGCGCAGGACAGCCACGCTAACAGGACGGCCGCCGGCATGTAAAACCCTTTGATCTTCTCGTGCCAGCTCGGCTCGATGGCATAGTAGTAGTGCACCAGAGCGCTGCCGTACTGGTAAATGGCAACCCCCACGTAGTCCATGAAGAAGAAGCTGTAGTGCCAGAACTCGGATTTGGCCTGCAGAAGGTGAGCGAGGGTGCTGAACGTCAGGTAAGTGATGGACGCCACGATGATGATGAGGAGGGGCTGGGCGTGCTGGTCCTGCCCAAAATCCACCCTCTGCGAGAGCTGCTGGAACCGCAGCAGCAGGATGAGCGCTGCCAGCAGATGGGTCCAGACGTTGATGGCCTCGTTGTGCTGCTGGAAGAGTGTCGAGAAGTAGTAGCGCCAGGTCTGCTGCACAGGCCGGTAGCCGGTGTGGATGTAGGGCTTCCAGAAGACCTTTGGCACCTCCGAGCTGCTGACGGTGGAGGGAGGGAGCGGGGCCAGCAGCTGAGGGACCTGCTGCATGTTAATGAAGAGGCGGCTGAGCTTTTCAGTGATGGCTGTTGCATGATGCAGCCAAACTCCAGGTTCCCACCACTCAAAAAAAAACCTTTGGGATGGAAAGTTTTGCTGCAGGTTTAATAGTGACTTTACAAACAAACAAACAAACAAAACACACACCAAAAAAAAACCCAAAAAATACAACAAGAGGCCATTTGAATGCTTTTTTTGTTTGTTTGTTTTGTATTGTTCTGTTTTCCAAAGATATGTAAAATCATGCACCACTGCAGAATGGCCTCATTACAGCTGAAATAAAAGAATGATCAAGAACAGTAATAGGAAGGAGGCTGAAGGGAGATTTAAGAACCCCTGGAGTGCCCCAGGCTGCACAGGCAACAGACTGTCTGGAGGAGTACAGAAGTAGAGGACAGAGTATGGGGTTAATCGACACAACCATTAACACACCAGGATGCATTAGCTCCTAGCTCACCCCTTCCCAGCAGTTTGGGAACTGCTAAACAATCTAAACATCCTAAACAAACTTCCCACTCCAGGAGCAGCACAGATTTTCCCCCTTGTAAACTGTTTGCAGTGTCTGTCTTTACAATTAACATCTAAACACATTCCCACAAGCAGTGAGAATGTGTTCTAAATGCACCCCTCTGCCTCATGAGGGGTGCATTTAGAACAGAAATAACTAACGCCAGTAACAGGAGATGTAACTTCTGTGTCTGGAGCTTTTACCATCTTTTTTCAGCTCCTGATTTTCCACATGGCTTTGCACAAAAACAAACGCAGCTCGAGTGAGTCCATCCTGTTGCATCACTGAGGCCCAGCAGCTCTTTGTGAGCAAGCGTTTCCATATTTACATTTTTGAAGCTGCTGTCCTTACCAAGATAAAGGCAGCCTTACTGACTTTTCTGCCTTTTCATGGCAGCCTTAAAAACACATTGCACAGAACATGCTCGAAATGAGAATTCTGCCCCCCTTTACCTGCTCTTGCTCAGACAAGTTCTGAAGAAACCAGCCCGAAACCGTCCCGCTCCAGTGCTGATCTACGCCTCAACTCCTGGCAAGTGCAGTCATTCCAGGGACAGCTCAGACAGGAAAAGCTCTTCAAAGTCTGGGAAGAGGAGGAGGAAGAGGAGATGAGACTGTTTATTTTAAAAATCTCTAGATTCCTCATCAAAATGGAGTAGGTAGGTCTGTAACCCATGCCTGCCTGAAGCCGAGGAGCACAGACACAGATAAAAACGGGCTGTTTGCCGCTCAGCTTCCCTCTGGAATGCTCTTTTCCCACCTCACCTGGCTAAAGAGTGCCCACGTCAAAAACAACCGGCCTGGCAGAGGGCAATCCTGACCCTCGCCTGGCCTCCTGAGTCCTCCCGTAACACCGCAACACCCACAGGCTGCCAGCAAAAAACCGACTTCACAAAGCTCTTCCGGACTGGCAGTGACTGCACTGAACTGGAACCACCTCGAGCACTGCCAGAAAAGCAGAACTTCCCAGGTTAAGCTATTTTGACCAAAATTCAATGGGCAGTGTGGAAGAAGACACTGTCCTACCACCCAGAGAACTTGCCTCTGTGCCAGAGCTTCCGCTGCCCACGAGGACGCGGGGAGGGGGCTCAGCTCCAGACCGTGTCTGACCCCGCCACGGCGGCCAGAAGACAACTTTCTAGAGGAGGGGTGCCCCTGGTTCTGCTCAGGGAGCAGCATGTAGCCCATGCAGCGGGAAAAGCTGTGTTCAGAGCCACCAGGCACGAGGCAGGACAGGGATCGATGTTTACTTCAGGTCCTCCGAACACGTTGGAGCAGGACTTAATTTGCAAATCTGAGCTGGAAGCCTTAAGCAATGCTTGGTTACAAATGGAGCACATCCGGCACAGCGCTAGAAATCATTAATCTGGCCTGTACTCTGGATAATAATCTCCACACACATACGAGATGTCAATAACGTTGCCTCAAACACATGTTATTTCCTACGGAGCATTTCCTTTCTCAAGCAGCATCCACCCATCCCATAATGATGCAGACTCAGCCCCAGCTGTTTACGTGCCCGTTTGCTCCCAAAGACTCAGCCCCCAGCTGTTTACGTGCCCGTTTGCTCCCATGCACACATCCGTATTTAGCCTTCTAAAGCACAAATATCTTTCTTTTACGGTATCATAGTTTTCTTCTCAGCACAGGCCCACCCAGCCCCTGGTACATGCCCGCCAAGCGTGTTTGTGGCAGGCGCAGCGCCCGGGCAGCCTCCCCTCCCTCCCCATCAGCACTATCCCTGCCCAAACCCCCTCTGGGGTACCCAGGGACCGATCCCCCCCCAAATTTTTCCCCTGGGGGGCATTTCAGGCCGCTGAAGATCAGACTTGGCAGAACCCTAGACACT